GTGGGCTGGCCGTGGGGAGGAGGAAAGCAACACCGAAAAGCTGCAACCCTCCTCGGGGTGAGCGAAACGTGACTGCAGCTGTCGCCAGCGCCCGCGGCCGCAGACCCTGAGGAGAAAGGAACCCGCCACCCCGCCTGCAGGGGCCGTGCCGGGGGTGCAGCTCCGTCTGGGGGCCTTGGCTATGTTTTTGCTTTTCTAGTAAGTCGACCACGCGGGGCAGGCACCACAGTGACCGGGGCGCAGGCCGGCCCGGGACCCGATCCAGGGCGGGTGTTTCACGGCCGCAGCGCCGGGCTCGTGCCTCGCGGCGCGGACCCCGGAGGACGAAGACGGACGCCCTCGAGGCGGAAGGGCCCCTGGGACCCGCCAGAGGCCACCTCTGGGCCTGACGCTCAGAAGGAGCCAGGCGAGCACTGGGGTCAGGGGACGCGCATCCCTCCCAGGCGGACGCTCCCGCAGACGCCCGGCGCCCCCCTACACACGCGCTTGGGCAGGGGGTGGGCGTGCCGTGGGGCCAGCCGGGTTTCCCAGGCCCCCCCCCTCACTCTTCTCAGACCCCCGCCTCCCCCCACAGGACACGCGTCTGTAGGCCTCGGGGTCTGATGGGTCTGTTTGTATTGTGTGCACGGCGTTGGCGGGGCACCTGCTGCGAGTCGGGGGTCAGGAGTCAGGCCCCCTGCCCCCGTGGGGCTGCGGTCCCACGTCCGAGGCGACACCCTGGGCCTGGCCGCGCCCTGGGCAGGGAACGTGGGCTCGCGGCCGGCCACGCGCGGCGAGGACTCTGCAGGTGGGCCCTTCCGGTGCTGCGTCTCAGCCGGGACACCTGTCTGTCGATAAAGCACCCGCCACGGGGGCGGCGGCTGCGCGGCGGGACACGCGCCCCATGCGGCCAGCGGCCGGAGGCGCCCGACCGTCCGCGAAGACCTGGCCCCGCCCCTCCCTGCGCCACGCCCGGCCGCCCTCCCGCCCTCCGTGCGGCTCCATTCGGGCTTTTTACTATGAAAACCGCGGAGCTCAGGCTACTGGTGGGGCTCTGGCGTCCTGATCACCAACCTGGGGCCCTGGGGACACGCGCCCCTTCACAAGCTGACCCTCCGCCTCCCGCCCGGCCACCTCCGACCCCCACAGGACCGTGGCCGCGGACGCCGCTCTGGGGTCAGACGCCCGGTAGGACCAGCGGGCCAGACAGGACTTGGGGCAGAAACGGACAGCGCGTTCAACGATAGGGACTCGCGCCGCGACACGCGTCGCCTGCCGGTCTGAGTCCGCCTCCAGCTTCCTCAAGGAGGAACCGCGGCCTCCGCAGCTCCACCCCCACGCGCCCCCCACGCGCCTCCCACGCGAAGGCCCCCCTTTTCACGGAGAGACAGCGGCCGGGCCCACAGCCGCGGGCAACAAGCCTGGCCCGACGGCGTTCGGGAGGCTGGTTCTGTTTCCACGGTCGCTGGTGCGGCCGCCTCCTGCCTTCGCGGATGGTGGTCGTGGGCAGTGGTCTTTTACATTGTTTTTAAGCCAAAACAATGAATTGTTTAGAGAAAGAGCCACTCAGTGACTCGATCAACAAACACCTATGAGGCGCTAACTACGTGCAGATCCCACCCGGACTCTGGGCTCGAGAGCCGTGAGCAAAGCCAGCTCCCCCCGCCCCCCGGGATGGACCCCAACGTGGCGCCTGCCCGAGTGCGGGAGAAAGGGTGCCCGTCGGGCACGAGTTCCTCAACTCCCGGGGGCCAGACCCGGCAGGACCCTCTCCCAGCAGAGCGGCAGGCGGGAGGTGAGCACCCTGCAGCCTCGGCACAGCCGGCGGGGACTGCCCGTGCCCGGGGCTGTCTCCGGACCGGAGGTTGCCGGGCGGGGAGACCACAGCTGGTCCTCGTTATTATAACTTAGACCCTTAATAAGTGCAGACTCGTGCGGCTCATTCTGAAGCAGGTCATGCCCTGAGCGGCTGGGGCCTCCCTCACTCCCTGCACAGCCCCGAGCAAGCCGTGCTGTGCTGCCCGCGGGCTCTCGGCGGCTCGGTCCCCACGGCGGACCCACGGCTTTGACCTCGGACGCTAACGTGTGCCCCACAGACTGGGGCTGCGGTGGGTCCGTGGGAGGGGCCCGGCGTGTATGTGCTCTGAACCTCGGAAATGACCTCCCTCGGGTGGGGGGGCGGGAAAGGGGGGCATGGGGGACATCTGTCATCGTGCCAACCGTTTAAAAAAACCAAAAAGAAAGGACCTCCCTCAAGAACCACAGACCCCCCTCTCCCCCAGCTCCCCTGAGGGAGAGTCACCCTCCTGAGGGGTCCAGGGACTCGAGAGGGCCGGGCGGCCGGGTCAGCGCACGCTGCCCTGCCCGTGCTGAGGGCCAGGCCCTGCCACTGCGGGGAGGGGGCTCCCCTGGTCGAGGCCCCCCCTCCACTGCCCGGGGCTCTACCCACACGCTGTGACCTGGCAGAGGCTTCACACGGGAAGAGGGAGATGTAACCCCAAGCCACCGGGGCTCAGGGGGAGCCCTTGCTCCCCGCAGTCCTGGGGGTTGGACGTGCAGACAACTGAGAGGGAACCGTCCCCCCCTCCCCTTCTCTTCGAGCTCAGAGACTCTCAAATTCTGCATTCGCAGGACTGGAACCAGTTTCACGCTCCGAGCCACGAGCGACTTACACATCCAGGAAGACGACTTCTGTCCACGAACGTCCCCCTTGCCCGGCCCCCCGGATGCGGACGCGGCCCTCGTGACGAGGGCTGTCCCCCGGGCGCTGCGCGCCAGCCCACACACAGCGCGGAGCGGGCCTCGGCGGGGGTTCCCCAGGACGCCCGGGGGGAGGCCGTGGCCGAAAGGGCACGGGGGCCCTGGGCAGAGCACCCTGCCTCTGCGGCCCGCTCCCCGGACGTCCGGTCTCCCACCAGCTCTCCAGCCAGGAGGGACGTCCAGGACGCAGCCAAAGCAGAGGGAAATGATGAACCCATTTCATTTTGGATTTCGTCCTCTCCTACCTCAATGCAGCTGAGTGAGCACCGGGTGGAAACTCCCTGGAACCAACTCCACCACGTTTCCTGGATCTGAACTAGAGCAGGCGATGCTGGAAAGGGCAGCCCCCCCGCCCCCGCGGAAGGCTCCTCGTTGCCCTTCCACGTCCTTCGCACGGGCCAACGGTGCCCGTCCGGGCGCCGTGTCGGGGGGCTGCCTGTGAGCAAGCGTCAGCCCCACTCCTGCGCCGGCCCCTTCTTCGGGACTGCCCTGGGGTGTCACACTGGGGCACTCTCGTCATTTCCAGCAGCAAACGCTGAATGACTCCTGGGTGAGACACCGTGCTACAGTCGTGGCCCGAGAGGCTGCAAGACAGACCTGCCACAGACAGCGAGCCCAGGGGGGACAGAGAGGCAAACTGACAGAGACAGAGGGACACAGAGGCGGGGAGAGCGGGAGGGGGGGGCGGGAAAGAAAGGAGGGGGACCCAGGGACACTGAGGAGGAGGGCGGGCGGGGTTGGTGCAGGGAGGGAGGAGCGAAGAGAAAGGGGGTCCAGGGAGCGCCGCGCTGGGGAGAGGCTGAGCGGGCACGCGGTGACCCCCGTCCCGAAACCCTCCGCCAGCTCAGGCCAGGGCCGGCGGGTGAGCGGAGGGTCCCGCTCCGGCCGCCGCTGACCGCCCTGGCTCTCCTCCTGGAAGGGCGAGGCGGGAACGGCGCGGCCCCCACGCCACCCCACCAGACGGGCTGCGCCGTGTTTATGTAACTGCCCGGCGCTCCCCGGAACAGACCGTGACACCCTGGCCGACACTGTCCAGTGAGGCCACGCACCCCTGCGGGGCACAGGTCTCCCTGGCACGCGTCGCCCACCAGAGCAGCCGGCCGAGCGGCCGCCGAGCGAAGCTCCCCTCCCTTGTGGTCTCGGTTGTGCAAGAAACACCGGAAAAGCCACGGGGCCTTTTGAACCCACACCAGGAGCAGCCCCAGGAGCCCCGGGGAGCGAGAAAGCGCCCAGCGGTGCGGAGGGCACCCTGCTTGCTCCCGGCGGCCAAGCCTGCCCACCGTCCCGCACCTCAGGGGCCACCAGGACTCCGGGGTCAGAGGTGCTGCCCGGGGCCAGGCAGGGCGCCCGGACTCCCCCAGCTGGGCCTGCGGCCGACTCCCGAGGCTTTGCTGGGGCTGCCAGAGCGAAAGCCGGAGGCAAAGCCCCAGGCGAGGGAAGCGCACATGTCCCCCCTTCCTCCGAGCCTGGCCCAGGGCCGCGCCCCGAGGGGAGCCCTCAGTCCCAGCGGCTGTGGCCGGGGGCCTGACCCCTGGAGCCAGCGCCGGGGCTCAGGGTGGCCCGCATGGGTGAGCAGCCCCCACCAGCACCTGGGCTTCCCCCGGATGCTGCCCTGGGGCCAGGCGCCGGGCGCTGAGGCCGGGGCCGGGGGGGGGGGGCACCTCTGCCGTTCACGCCTTCCGGGCGCCTACAGGGCCCCTGAGGACTCGTCCACCTGTCAGTCCCCGCAGCTTCGCACTGGTCCCCAGCACTTGCCAGAGCGAGCCCTGGGTAGCCCCAGGAGGGGCGGCCGGGTGAGCCCAGGGCTCCGGCAGCCCCTCTCCCAGCAGTAAAAGGACACAGGCCAGCAACTTGGGCTGGGCAGCGTCGCCCCCGCCCCGCGCTTGAGCCTCAACCCCGGCCTCGGAGGCGCACACAGCGCTGGGTGACACCTGCTCGGCACGCAGGTCGTAGGACCTCTTCAGAAGTTCCCGCAAGTGCTCTCAGGGAATAGGCTGGAGTCCTTGCGTGTGTGGTGAGGGGTGGCTTCAAGTGCCCACTGGTGGCACCAGTGGTCGCCGGGCCAACGCCCTTGGCGAGCGAGGCTCTCCGGACGCCTCCCGGAGGCACAGAGGCTCCACCCCAGCCTCTGCTGGCCTCCCGCCCCTGGGGTGGGCGTGCTAGCGCCAGCGGCTGGAACAGCGCTCAGGGCCCGCGCTCGGGGACAGTCCCGCACCCCCGCCCCCCGCGCCCCTGAGTCCCAGCGGGACCCGCCGGCTCACCGTTCAGCTGGTTGTAGACCACCTCCTCCAGGTGGTCCAGGCGCTGCAGGATGGCCTCGCGGTCCGCCCGCGCGCCCGCCTGGGTCAGCCGGCTGCGCACCCGGCGGTCGGCGCTGCGCACGAGCTGCGCCAGCCCCGCGGACCGGCCCTGCAGGCGGCAGTACACGGAGAAGAGGATGATGCCCACGAACACCAGGATGTTGACCGTCAGCAAAGTTTTGATCTTCCTGGCCACCGCCATGAACGCGGCTGGAAGCCGCTGGCGGCTGCCTCACCCACGGGGCACCTGGTGGGCCCGGCCGCCGGAGACTCCGCCCAGCCCGCTGCTTCGGGGACCATGAGCCACCGACCGGCTGCGGGCCACGCGGGCTGCGGGCGGGGCTGTGGGAGGGGGGTTGCGGGGGGCGGGGGGGACTGCGGGCTGGGGCTGCGGGCGGGGCGAGGGGCTGTGGGCTTCGGGGGACCTGCGGGCGGGGTGCGGGGGCCTCGGGCGGGGGTCGCGGGCGGGGCTGCGGGCGCGGGGAGGGGCCGCGCGCCGGGTCGCTGCGCCGGGAGCTGTCCTTTCAGCACCGCCGCGTCCGCTCAGCGCGCCCCGCCGCCGCCCGGGGTCCCCGCGCGCAGGGGCTGCCCGGGGCCGCGGGCGCGGGGCGCAGCCGGCATCCTCCGCAGAGGGGCGCGGCCCCGTCTCCGTCTCCGGGGCGGCGGGCGGGTCTGGGGCCGCGGAGGCGAAGGCGGCGCGGGCCGGGCGGGCGCTCCGGCTGCCGTGCGGCTCCTGCCCGCCCCGCAGTCACGGCGCCGGTGCGGAGTGACGCTGCCGCCCGGCTCATCAGCATGCACGCGGCGGCTCCGCGCCCTCCTCCCGCCCCGCGCACCCCGCTCCCGGCCGGGGCCGGGGCCGCCCCACTCACCCTGCGGGGCGGGGTCCTAGCTCCCGGGGTCCCCGGCCTCGCGGCCGGGCCAGCAGGGGCGCGGGGCGGAACGGCGCGCTCCGAGACCCAGACCAAGGGCACCGGGCGGGCGCGGCGGGGGCGGAGCCAGCGGGCCCTGCCTCCCCACGCCCGGCCTCACACTCAGGATAGACCCCGAACTTGACTCCGATCAAACTTGACCCCATCAAGGCTGTGCTGACTTTGTCACTGGTGGGTGGGGGGTGCGGGGTGTTTTGTGGGGCGTACAGACAGCGGGGCCACAGCCACCTTGGTGGTCTCCCCGCTTCCCTGTGCCCCCGCCCGCCCCGCGGCCCCCACCCCGCCCCGCCCCCGGAGGAGGGCTGGGAAGGGCTGAGTTCAAGGACAGGTGGACTGAGATTTCACAGGACCTGGGGCACCGCGAGGTCAGGGGCCACAGACTCCTGGGCGGCAGGTTGTTCCCACGGGGTCACCTCTGGCCCCTCGTCCAGCACCCGCCCCGCAGCCACCTGTCCTGACCCCACAGCGGCCTATCCCGCACCTCCGGGTAGATCTGGCAGAGCAGAGAGACCCGTCGCCCCTCTACCTATGAAAATTTCTTTTCCTTCTCGGACTTTTTGTCTCAAGAAAGTCAAAGGAAGGGGAGGCCCGCTGTGCAGAGTTCACCGCGCAGCCACTTCTTCCGAGAGATCGCGTTTCTGCTCTTAATTATCACTCCAGAGCAGCCTTCGACGCAGCACGTTGGATAAGCACGGGTCTGTTTTTGATAAACAGCCATTCTCTTCCCAGGAAATATTGCATTTTTCTGATTATAAAAAGCCAGGGTGGAAGGGCAGTCTTTGGAATAATAATCCAAACAGTTCGCGTTTACGCGGCCGTGAGATTCTGCCCGGCTTCCTTCCAGGTCCCTGATGGCTGTGAACCGGTCGACACCGGCAGCAACCGCGCGGTGGTGCGAGCCGCTGTGATCTGATTTTATAAATGGGGAAACCGAGGCAGCGCGCGGGCGGGCGCTTTGCTGAAGGTCATGCCAGTGGCCAAGCTTGGGTCTGGAATTGAAGCCCAGACAACGCGGCTCCGCAGTCAAATTTCTTAGCCACTGTCACTCAAGGAAAAAAAAATATCAAGCACTTTTCATTATATGTTTTATTGAAAGTGATGTTAAAGTGGTTTTGCAGGAGAAAACATCGTTTTGTTCATGTAACTACATTGTACTGCATCCTAAATTTAGTAACAATGATATATCCCAAAAGGCATCAATCTGAGGCTAAATTTCATTCGAAATTGGCGCACGTTGACTTGGGGAAACTGGGGGCTCTTCTACAAAGAGGGACTGCACCTCATAGCCCAGAAAACTGGCTTTCATTTTATTTTCACACAGACAGAGGGCTGAGCTGTGAGAGGCATGGTCCCACGCGGAGCCTGTCACTAAGCCCTGGACCCCGCGCCTGGACTTCCTCGGTGGCCAGCCCTCAGAAGTGGGCGCGCGCTGTCCCCGCCGGAGGGGTCCTCGCCGGGCTGCAGACGCCACGTGGGACGGTGGGACAGGGGAGCGGAGGGCACCAGAGAGGAAACCGTGGGCGTGTGACCCGGTGACGGGCAACACTGGGCTCGTCATGGTCAGAGGCCACGCTCTGCTGGGTCATCCTGGACGTTGCCTGGGCTGAGCAGGAGCCTCTGAGTTGGGCCTCGCTCTTTGCCGGGACCACAGACGGACACTCAAGAGCCACGAGCAGGGTCTTTCCTGTCCTGCGGGGAGAAGGCATGTCCTGTTCACAGTTCCGCCGGGCCCGCGGCACGCCGTGTTTTACCATCGACGCGCGTGCGCGAGCAGCGGCCCGCGGCTCCCACCGGCAGGGCTGCCCGCCGCTGTGCGGCACGTCCGCAGGGTCCTCGGGGGCTTCTGCCGAGGCGTCCCTGCGGGGCCAGCCTCTGGGGAGCAGCCACCTCACGGGCTGCCGACGGCCGTGCCCGGGTCGGGGAGCATAGCGCAGCGGGACGGCGTGCTGGCCTTGAGGCTCAGCCCAGAACCGACGTTTGCCGTCCCCACCCTCAGTCGCTGGCCGAATGTCGTGCGCAGCGAGACTCTACCAGGAGCTGGAAGATCTGGGACTCAGTGAGCAGAGCTCGTGGCCCGCGCGCGACCTTCCAGAAAATCAGGGTTTTATTCCACACAACTCACCTCACACTCCCACATGCCAGGCTCCTGGGGTGCAGTGCCCGGTGGCTGTTAAGGTAGAATTTAATGCAACCGTTTTATAGAAGAGACGACCAACGCGAGAAAAAAAGAAAAGATTCTGCGGTGAATTTTGGTTTAGACCAAACTCGTTGGCGGGCGTGGACCGTGGACGTCGGCGTCAGGCTCCGGAGCCAAGTCCTCTGAGAACCGACACTGGGGCCTCCGGCGGGCGGCCGTGTCGCTCCTCCAGGCCACTCTCAGCGGGGGAGGCAGGCGGCAGGCAGGGTGTGCGGGCCACGTGCTTGCGAGCCATCGACCTTCCCGCGCCAGCGGCCCCGAGGCGGCAGGCGGCGAGGGCCCAAGGACGCCGCCAAACCGGAGCGCGGCTCAGCCCTCCCGCCTCCGAGGAAGCCGCCGGCTCTGGCGGCCAGCAGCTCTAAGGAGTCAGCAGAGACGTTTGCGGAATCCGTTCATTAGCCACGGTCCCAGCCTTGGACGTCCCGTGTGACAGCTGGCGAGCCCACAGCCCATTACCTCGGCAGACGGCTCGGCGGGCCTCAGGCCGGTGACGGCCTGCGCTGCGCTCGGCAGGCGGGCGGGGGAGGCAGAGGCGCCCGGTCCGCGTGAGCCAGGGCAGGAGAGGGACGTGTGCGAGCGGGGACATGCATGTGACAGGGCGAGTCTGTGTGTGTGTGTGCGCGCGTGTGTGCGCGCGTGTGAGAGAGAGAGAGGGAGGGAGGGAAAGAGAGGGGCGGGAGACGCAGGGAGAGCTGGGGGCTGGGATGGGGTGGGAAATGGGAGGGTACTAACCGAAATGAAAACTCGGGTGTCCTTTTCTGTCCTCTTCTCCCAGACATTCTAGAAGCGCCACAGAGCGTGAGAGGCCGCACTGGCTGGAGCACCGCGTCCCGCTGGGGCCTGGGCGGACCCGGCTGCCTGGCTGCCACGTCGCAGCGTCGTCCCCCGTCCCGGGCAGCCAAACGCCTGTCCCTCGCCTGCCTCTCAGGACGAACGGCTTCTCCTCTAGAACGGCTCCCGGGTCCGGCTCTTCGTTCGTTCCCCCAACACTGGAAGAGCGTTGACCAGGGGCCAGAACCCACTTTCTAGACGGGGAACGAGGGGCCCAGAGAGGGTTAGTGACTTGCCTGCAGTCACGCAGGTATCGGAGGTGGGCGGGCTCAGCCTGGACAGCCTGGCCCGGGGGCCCGGCCTGTGAGCGCCAGCCCGCACCGCCCCGGCCGCCGCGGCACCTCCGGTATCCATCCTGTCTCCCGCTGCGCCGCACAGGGATCTCTCCTGCTTCCTGCCGGCCCGGACGGGGACGTGTCCCTTCATCACGGTGCCAGCACCGCCAGAGAGCGCTCAGAACAACAGCGTCCGGTCACTTAGCATGTGGGCAACGCAGGCAGGACACCCCTTCCGCTCCCTGCGGTCTGAGCCCTGCCCGCGGACAGGGTGGAGGCGGCCCCAGGCCGGAAGCTGGCAGGGTCAGTCCCTGCCGCCAGCCTGTGGCTGAGGCCAGTCGGTGGCCGGGACCCAAGCCGCACAGTCAGGACACCGGCCCCGGCCCCGCCACCCGCACCGGCAGGAGGGCCGAGCCTGCATTCCCCTGTTCAGCCTCAGGCCAGGGCTTGTCCTGGATCCGCCCGGGCTCCGGCCAGCACCAGGCCAGGACACGCAGGCGCCGCGACGTGTTGGCCGCGGTGAATTCAGGTCTCTGGCCTCCAGAGCCGCGGGAGGCACGTTGATGTCGTTTTAAGTGGCTCGGTTTGCGGTGATTTGTTACGGCAGCCTGGGAAACTCGTGGAAAGACTTTAAAACAAGAGTCAAGTGTAAACAATAATGACAAGTGTACAACCAACAGCATCGTGAATACTCAAGGGCGTCCTGCCTGCCTGGCCCCAGCTGGGCCGTGTCCCGTGTCCCGTGTCCCCAGCAGGGCAGCCCCGCCTGCTTCAAGGGGGGCGGCAGGCCGCTGCTCCTGCGGACGGGTCTCGTCACAGACACAGAGCCCGCCGGCCACAGGGCCAGGGGCAGCTTCTGGTCCTGGACGTGGTCTCCCCGGGAATCGCAGGTGCTCTTCTCAAGCCAGTGGCAGAAAGGCTCGGTGTGTGGCCAGGGCGCAGGCCCCCCCGAACCCCGTTTGCTGCAACGTGACACTCCCCTCCCCTCCCACAGCCTCTCCAAGCTGTGCTGTTCGGGCTTTCGGCCGAGCTCCCCCCAGGCAGAGTGCCGCGCAGGGAGATGGACGGCAGCTGGGTGCGCAGCGACGGTGC